TAGTAACAATGATCTTAGTCTTTGATAGTTTTTCAAATATCACTGTACTACCTAGGCCTAATCTCTGTGTATGAATCTCTTTATTTAATGAGAATATGTTTAGCTGAAAGTTAGGATTCAAATGTCCTATTAGCCTATAATCTTTGCTATTTAATCTATAGTGTCATTAGCAAAATAGTCTCTGAGTTCATAGTGGATTGAGTGAGCACAATACCAGATATACAGTTTAGGGTAGTGACTTAATTGACTACATATATAACATAATAAATCGATAAGCATAGAGCTGATTAAAATAATTGAATGTTTTTAGATCACTAACATATATTGTCCTAAACTGAGAAATTTTAGCCAGGTAAAATTTTAACCAAATAATGAATAAATGTTTCAAACGAATTTTTTAGTTCTACTATCTATATACCTATACCTATTTTATAAACCCTTAGCATTGGAACAATATAACATAAAAATGTTCCCATATGATTCTGTAGGGTACTGCAATTATTTAAGGTCTTTTAGGCCTTAGATTTACTTAATGTTAACAAACTCAAGACTTGCATATCCATTTTGGAATATAACATGTTCTTCAACATTTTTGAGAAACATAATAAAATTTATAAAATATCTAGTTTTACATTATCTTTCTTAGTTCCAAAAATAACCATCATCAGCATATTACAAGGCCTATCAAACTAAAACTATTTATTTTTATGTCATACGTGTCGTGTGTAAATGTTGTTTGTCGTGTAATGTGTTGTGAGAATAAAATTATTCAAGCAGATCTACATATTCCTGTAATAAAGTATTTGACAATGGCAGTTTGCTAAAACATGTAACACACTGATAAATATAATATAAAACCAAATATTTCTCGGGCTTCAACAATGAATTTTAATTTAATTTAGCTGCATATAAATGTCAACTTTAATTTAAATGGTTTAAACAAATACTATAAATAATTAAAATAACCAAGATAAATCTAAACTCACCCTGATTAAACAAATCACAAGCTAGGTGGTCTATAGAGAAGCAAAGACAAGAAGAAGTTTTTAGTCATCGAAATGAGAAGATCAAACAGGTTGATGGTTCCCAAAGAAGTTCCTGTTGACTCCAAAATAATACAGTATTAATGCTTAAGAAATATAACTTTGGATGTATGTTAATCATTTATTTATATGGGGTTGAGACCATGATAACTAAATTATACAATTTCAGATTATATAATTAAAACTCTTAAAATCTAATTGGTAATTAATAAAGAAGTTAAAATTAACCAATTTTTATATAAGTGGTATAGATTATAAGAGTTTTAATCATTGAATAATTTAATTATCCCGCCTTAATAGAGATATATTTTTTTCATTTAAAATGTATTTACTTTTAAAATTTGATTTTTAAATGTGTGATAAATATATCACATAAAAATATATTAGAAAATATTTTTATAAATTATAATCTATAAAAATATATATTAATATAAAATACAAAAATATATCTCTACCTCTCAGCATTAGCTTGTTATAGAGAGTATATAACATGCAACATGCAATATATAACAAGCATTAATAACTATACAGCTGTAGAATATACACCTTCAATCTGTAAAAGAATCAATACAATTAATATATAACAGTTATAATTTCATTAGTTTATGAATTGATACTTCTTTAATACCTGCAACAAATTTAGACAATATAATTATTATGAAATAAAAAAAAAACATTTGTGTATATTTTATATTTATGATAGAATAAGACTCCTTTATAAGCCAATTTCTTGTATAGCCTAAATTGGCTATTAGAAGTAGACCATACTTCTTCATCACCTGTAACAAAATGAGAAATATAAATATTGTGAATTGGAAAAAATATACTTAAAGTAGGCTACAGAATCTTTATTAAGTATTTTACTCTATTCTGCTTCCATTTCTAGGATATACTCATTTTTTGAAAATGAAAAGATTTTTGTATTTGGATAGAGGATGGAAATAGCTTTATTTCCTTTTGAAAGAATCCTATTTTCACCTAACACTTCAACATTTAGTTTATCTAAATGATTGTAGAATCTTTTAGTAGTTGTAATAAACACATTGTTTGTAAACATTTGAGATAGATTGGTAATTTTTCTGGAAAATGTTTTTTTACATTTATAACAAGCTTTGATAACATATTTTCTATGTAAAGAAATAATTTTAAAATCAATTCTTTTTGAATACTCTACAATATTTTTTTTTTCAATAAGTATTATGTATCTTACTAAAAACCCAGAATTAACCTTAAAAACTTTAAAGATTTGTTCAGTTTTAAAAGGGATGGTCACTGCAATAGTGTTGGCTATATTAGATTGGAACATTAACCCTAAGAATAGCTGCTTTCCTTTAATTGAACATAAATATTCTGGAGATTCAATTTGTTCAAATTGTAAATATGCAGTTGTGAAATTACTGAAATTTAGTCTGGGTATAATGTTGTTGTATTTTAGATAACACCACCAAAAATACGAATCTTTGATCAATTTTACTTTCCTAAATGGAAGCATTTGAAATATAATATAGAAAATTTCGATTGGTAATTTTTTAAATAAGGTGATATCCATTATAGATTCTTAAGATTTGTGAATACAAGTGAAAAATTTGAATTTCAGTGTAATTCTCCTGAGATCTTTTAGTTTAATATCTGAATTCCTTAGAAGTCGAAGAACTGATTTAAATTTACAATATAATTGTGGTAGAAGATTATCTTTTGTATTTAAGATATTAAAAACTCTAGCTATATTTGGATTAGATCTTGTTTTAATTTTTACAAGAACGATCAAATATTTACTTTTATTTTCAATATTTTTAACAAGTTCTTTAATAATTCTATGAATTAACTTGGTCTTAGTCTTGAAAGATCTAATGTATCTTTTTTTTAATTTTATCTTTTTCTTTTTTAATAATAAAGGTTTGAACATGAGTAAGATCAAAATGAAAAGGGTACTTACCAATGTACTAGTCTGAACACTGCTATGTTGTGGTTAGGATAGGATAGGAGTGTGGTTTATACATACCCATCCCACTAATTTGGATAGAGGCATGGTAGGAGAATATGGGCGTGGTTTATACTTGACTAATTTGACAAAGTATAGAGGGATAGAACAAAAGATGAAATATATATTTTTAGTTTTGAATTATAAACAAATTAGTATTATGATTAATAGTATTAAGTGTTTAAAATATATTTGCCATTTTTTATGTTTTTAGCAAAATTTAAAAATATTTTAAATCCAATTTTCATTAATATCTTAAATTTAAAAGAAGTGTAACTATTATCAGGCCTCTAGGAGAATTAGAAAAAATAAACTAATAGATTTATAAATCATAAATTATTAACAATGCTAAAGATTAAGATGTTAAAGTTTATATTTATAAAAACCTTATCTATGAATTCAAAATGGTATAAGAATTAAATTTTTGTATGTTTAGTTTTAAAGTCATTAAAAAAATTTAAATTGTAATAAACTGCTCTATCTCATGGTAATCTATTCATTGAAAATTATTAAAGAACTTATTGACTTTGAATTTAAGTTAAACATTTATGAACTATTTGAGATTTCCCGGACTTTTAGTAAGGATCAATGGGATAAAGGATTGGATGATTTATATCATAAAACCCACTCCAAAATCCTTTCCTTGTTTGTGCTAAAATATTGGTTAGAAAAAGAAGTTTCCTTAAGTTTTCCTGTAAATTTTTTTCTTTCTTCATTTTATGGTATGTTATTGTCATAATATCTATCATATTTTCATCCATTGAATCTCAAATTATCTAAAACAAAAGAAAATAAATTCTATAAATAATTACAAAAAATTTGGATTGTAACAATCTATATTTTTACTTTGTTTAGATTTATATATTTATTTGTTTACTTTAAAACTCTTGAGTGTGTTTTCCTCCATACTTGTAGTTTTTGTTAATATAAATATATATAGTGGATTTGGTAGTATCTAGCTCTACACTTCATACACCTTATCCTGGGAAGTCCCTAAGCTATTTTTACTCCTAAATTTCTCCTCATTGTAGAATAAAACTCAACATGTACCTACTCCTGTTTTAAAGGACCTTGTTTGTTTGTTTGACCTTTATGGACTCCAAAACTGCTTGAAAGATTGTAATGAAACTTTCAGGCATTATTAAGTATTATTTAAGGATGTTTTTTGAGAAGTTTGGTGCAGATCTATCAAAAGGGCTCTGCCTTAGTAGCTTTGGAGTTTCCCATGTTAATCTTATGATTTTTATATTTTAAAAGAATTAATAAATCTCAGTAGCTATTTCAATTAAACAAATTAGTTCTTTTTATGATGTTTAATAGCATTAAAAAGTTAATAGGTTTACCAACAGGGTGCAACACTATTATTTTTTTATATTTATGACAATAGCTAATTTCTAACAAAATGTGAGTGAATGTACTGAATGAATTTTAACCTGGAGGCAAGTTAGCATAGCAAACAAGCTAATCTAAAGGCAAGTGAGTACAGCAAATGAGCTTAAACCTTAAGGTGAGTAAGCATAGCAAATGAATTTAAACCAAGATGGGATTGAGCCATGCAAATGTGCTCATCTTGAATATAAATAAGCATTGACATAAAACCACATTAGGACAGGACAACAATTAGCAAGTATTACAGGTGTTACTTTAAAACAAATAACAATCATAATTTTTGATGACTTTAAAAGATTCGACTCAAAGATTATGGAAATACTTAAGATGTGATGGATTGATATAATCAACATTTCTTGTAAAAATCTTATAATTTTTCAAAAGCTAATCTTGTTTTTTAGTGTTTTCTACAAATAGCCTTACTCATAGTTGCATTAGGTTGTCCACAGTAATGATTTAAAAAAATATATTATTTTCTATTTCTTTAAATATGAAACTTTAAAGGGTCACACTCTTTAATTATTTCCCTGAAAAGATAGTTTCTACAACATTATAGATTTAAAAAGACTAGAGGAATTACTGTTTTTTTAGAACTGGGGCTGTGAGAGAGGTCCAGAGGTGGAGCCTGGCACTGACCTGTAGTACTGAGATTTGGGTTCTAGATAGGATGAGGGGAACTTGGGACAATATAGATCTGACAAATGAGGGTAGTAGTCTAACTGTGGGTTGTATTCAGCCCTTGAATGGGTGACAGCTGAGTAATGGGCAGGGGAGAGATTTTGGGCACTTAGAGATGTGAGTTCAACATAGAGTTGTTTCTGTATGGCTTTCTGCATAAGGTAGAGATTTAAAATATGAGAGTGGTAGTCTAACTGTGGGTTGTATTCAGCCCTTGAATGGGTAGTAGCTGAGTAATGGGCAGGGGAGAGATTTTGGGCACTTAGAGATGTGGGTACGACATGGAGTTGTTTCTGCATGGCTTTTTGCTTGATGTAGTTGGAGAACTCCATGGGTGACATCCTGCAATGAGATATGAGATTAGTATTGGTAAGTGATATTGGTGTGGGAAATTGGAGTAGACAATAGAATATGAAGAGGTTTTGGACAAATACATTGCATCAAGATAGATTGGTTGATGATTTGGAAAACACTGAAGAGGAGAAAGTTAGAAGGGTTTCTATTTTCAAGAACTGCATTAGCAAAAAATAGTCATTGAATAGTAAATGGAATATTGTGTATTGTAGAGAAATGGATATAGTTTGGCCGCTTAAAAAACAACCTGCATGCTAAAGCTAAACTAATGCTGGAGGAGGTCACTTTCTAAGCGGCTGAACTATAGTTTGAAAATATACTAGAAAACTTACATGAAACATTATAGAAATATTATCTAGATGGGATGAATTTGCTGAGATAACATGGACATAAACATACTTCTGAAGAAATCTGTTTTAAGGAAGTTATATTTATTTTTATTATAGAGTAGATAAAATTATAAGTTTTTGTGGAGCTGCATCCATTGAGGAAAAAGAAGAGTTCTAAATATGATTTATCAGTGACAAATAAGAGCTTATAGTTGATTTTATTAGAGACAAGTAACTTTTGATTCTAGATTGAGAGGTTGTCTAGTCAAAGTTTATTGGCTGCATATAAAGTTACAGTATAATAAAACCTTTATTCTATCAATCCTAAATTGATTTAGAAACTCTTGTTTAGTTACTTTTGACATAGAATGATGAATTTCAAATTATAAAATAGATGTTCTAGGTTATGTCTTTTTAATATTTTATCTGTGAATATAGACAATATCAACTTGTGGTTTGACCTTTGAGTTGTATCAATAGTTAAAGATGGAATTGGACTAGCCAATTATTATACATAAGTGATTCTAGACCACTAAGAACTATCAACAACAAATATAAAAGACCATTAAGTCATTGGTCATTTAATAAACAACTTTTAGTTAGTGTAAATAAATTTGAAGAAAACTATACCCACCAAAGAAGATAGAATGTACCAAGCTTATCACTGGTTTTTGTACAATCTTTTTAAGTGGCAAAGATATCAAAGAACAAGGATCTAGGTTAGATTTCATTTATATAAAGTTACTAACTGAAGTAAGATGATGTTACTTTACCTGTTAGTCATCTTGCTGTTGGTTTTAGGTTTGGTGCTGCCAAACTTGGTCTGGGCAAAGGTGGTGTAGGTGAAAGTGAGTGGCTGGGTAGGCCAGGTCATGAAGGATGGTGCTAAGCTGAGCAATGTCTTAGGAGGTGCTAAGGATGTAGAAGTAGAGGATACTGCACTCATGGGATGTGGCAATGCTGGCTTGTGAGGTGATAGACTCATGTTGGCTAGTCCCATACTAACTGTATTGATAGGTTTGAAACATTGAGCCTCTGGGTTAAGAGTCTTGTTGACCTCTCTGTTGGCAAAGTTGTCTTTATGGATGTTGGTAGCCTCACTGAAGAGTACCTTGACCACCCCCTTCTCGCTGATCCTGTAGCTAACCTCACCAGGGTCCACCCAAATCATCAGCTCCTGAGGGAGGTTCTCTAAGATGTCCTGGAAAAGTACCCCACTCTTCCTTACAGCTTGCTCCAGCACAGGGTCAATTAAGTTCCCAGTCTTGAGACACCTGAAGGCTGACCCCTTAAATGGCTTCTCCGGGTACCAGTGACCATTGAATTTTTCCTTTAATACTTTCTCTAACTCCTCACCAAAGATGTTGACTTGCCGCCTTGGTACCTTGTTGTACAGGTAGGAGATGATGAAGTTTATTGCAACTTGGACTTCAATGTGCATTGTTGTTTGTTTCTATGTATCACTGAAAGGGGGTAGGCATGAACTTGTACTCACAATAGAATGTGTCCAGCAGTTATTACCAAATTACCTGTCTTAGAAACATGGACAAGTTAATTCAGCAACCTACATTGTCATAAAATATATAATACAATACATACACGATGCATGTGTGGTAGTATTCTATTCAATAATAGAGAAAAATTTGAATTAATTTTGACACTTTCAATCAACAAAATAAACTATTACAGTATCCTCAAAATATTAATGAAAAATATCTTATAATATTTGTCAGTATCTTGTTTTAATTTTTTACTGACCAACATGCAGTGCTGACAGTTTTAATTGTAATGATGAAAATGAGTCTCCATAAAATATTGATATGAGTTTTTTTATTTTATATCCGAAATTTTCTAAACAAGTGTTATAGCTTGATTTGTTTAAACCCAGTTAAAAAATGAAATTAAGTTTAAACACAAACTAGACTAAGACATAGTTGAAAGGAATCCTTATACAGTAAACAGTATATTAATATTGATTTTTGTTTTAAAATTGACTAAGTTTTATAGTTAGAATATACTAAAAATGGTATCACGAAAGAACAAACATTTATTTGAAAAGAACACCAAGAGGTATTTCCTTGAATCCTAAAATATTTGTAAACATATCTTAACATATGTTATTGCATATACTTTTTTAGAAATATCAAACTAACTTCATTTAAAAACTAAATGTGTTTGAATCCACCTAGTTTAAAACAAATCACCACTCACAATCACAAATAAATCTTAAAATCCACTCTCAGCACAAACACTTCATGTTAAAAGCCACCAAATCAGTTTAACTTTTAACTTAACATTAAGTTTAATGAGTACCTAGGCTTGTTGCTACAGGGAGGGTAAAAAAGTGTGTTTTTAGTTATATATTAATTACTTAGTATCAAATAAATAAATGTATCAAGTTTGATCAAAATATATCCATAAACAAACAAACTACAACATTTTATAATATTGTCCATAAGAATGACATAGGTATTTTAAAATAACATTTTTTTTAATTTTCTCCATAACCAATAATTTTACAAAAACATTTTAATATACTAAATTATTTGTTTTTTTAAACTCTTTAAAAAGGTCTAGAGAAAAATTAGGAAATTTTATGTTTAGAGGGTTAAAAATTAGAAAACCCTATTTTTACTCCATAAAACCCCGTTCCCATGGTCCCATCATGCTGGTTAACAAACTTGTTCAAGTTTATCCTGCCTTATACCTTCAAACCAAATTTCATCAAAATCAGACAAAAATTACTAAAGTTATTGTGTTCATGGACACACATATATATATCTATATAAATTTGAACAAATTATGTTTTTGACCTCTGGTAACCTCAAAATCAAAAAAGTAAATCAGTCCTGGACCTAGGTCTTACCATGCCACCTATGATAATAACTACTTCCCTATAGAGAAATTCACTAAAAACAAAGTTGAATAAATCATGACTTTGATGGGGAAGGTCAGAAATGTGTGTAAAAATAGAGAATACAAAACATCTTTATTCTAGGGAATAAAATTATTAAAGGAATGTTTTGGAAATACAAAACTCATATAATGATATAATGTTTTTTTTATTTATGAAGAATTACAGTTATAACAATACATACAGTCCAACCTTGGTATAAACAATCTGAAGAAACCAAACTGAATAGGATTTTAAATACAAGGTGTTTGTCCATCCTACATATGGGAATTGAGTAGTTAATTAAAACTATATGAATGAATGAATGAATGAATTATTTTTTTATTCCAACAAATTATTTACAGAATATGTACATAAATATTTAAAAGAAGAAGAAAACATAAGTGAATTTAAAAGAATAAAATAAAATTAACCTTTACATTACATCTATGTTAAAAAAAAGCATACATGTTAATAGGGAATAAGCTGACATGGGCAGCAAGCCTGTGCATCAACTGTAGTTACGTCCAAACATAACATTTTTTATCAAATACAATAAATAAATAAATGACAGGAGATATGATGAGGTGAAAATATAATGTAAATGGAGTTACAAGAAAAAATTGTGAGATGAATGGCTATGTGAAAAAATATTCGGTGGCATAACTAAGTTTAAATAAAAATAAATGAAATGTAATAGTGACAGGAAATCTACGGCTTTCAAAGTGTTTCTAGAAGGGTGGGGCATATAATAAATGTATATAATATATAAGTATATAATAGCAATACAATACTATACAATAATAATAAGAGTATATAAAATATGTATATAATATAATAATAAATGTATAATTTTATTGTAGCCTACAGCAGAAAGAGTAATTATTATCAATTGAGAAGTGTATAGGCCTAGTCAATGGTATCACCTTCCATTTCATACCTGCCTCTTCCATAACCAATATCACCACAATACAATTACTCATACACAATTTCCAGTAGGTCTAAATAAAAACTCCCTAAAATAAAATGATAATATCCAATTAAATTCACAGTACACATATAACATTGGTTTTTCCATACATCATTAAACAAATTGTCTACACATATTCTTGATATCAATTTCACTACATCAATTGTTAAATAAATAAGTGTAAACAAAGAAAAGTAAAAACAACAACATATAGTTTGTTTTTAAACAGCTAAGTCAAAAATAAAATAATATTTGTTTAAAAAAAGAACTGTTCATGTTGAAGGAATTTAAAAGGAAAACATGCTAGTAAGCTAGTGACATAATTGTTTATGTTGATTATCCATACTGTTATCAGTTCTAATATCCTTGATAGTCAAACCATCCTCATTGAGTTGAAATAAAAGTGATATTTTGCCTACATCAGTGCATCCAAACATAACCACAACTAAACACACACCAAACAACTTTTTAGATTTCATAAAATAATAATTAGTCTGATTATTGCAGTATCCTAGGTCTTGTTCAATCTATGTCATTCATCTGTATATCTTTAGCTAAAACCCATCTGAGGTTGTGGTTGTAATTTAAAATCGTATTCCTGAGGGTTCTTGATCTCAGCATTAAAATATTAATTACTGGTATTGCAAACAAAATGCTATACCAAAATGAATTAAACATGTAAAAATTGTAACTTTCTTACTCATTCCTTAAAAAGTTGAGCAGTAAAATAATTTGCATATCCTTTTTTTATGACTTGTGTACAGAGCCTTGACTTAAAACAAATCAAAGATAGCTTTAAAAAATATTTTGAACATCCTAGTATTTTACTATTAATTAATTTATCATCCTCTTACTGAAGAATTGAATGTATCAATGATCAGCATTACACATAGTATAAATAAGTCAACCCTTAGTATGTCTTTTCATTTTTATCCAAATGTTGAATTTGTGTTACAAATACTGAATGTTTACAGCTGTTATGTTAAGCAAATTATATCATACTATAAGCTAGTTTAGAATGTTAGCGTCAGTTAGTTGTTAGACTTTTCAAAAATTAAAACATAATTTCTAAAATACTTGGACTCTAAACTAAAATTATAGTAAACAAATTAAATGTTGATATGTCTTCATATATGTATGCATTAACATTTTGATAAGAGATAATGTTGATAAATATTTCCTCCATGAAAAGAAACAGGCCCACCTGTGAGTCTAAAGAAAACTTCAGATTAAAAAAGATTTGAATCCTATTCTTATTTCAAATGATTAATATTTATCCAAAGGAAGTACATTAAAAATGTTTTAAATTAAAATCAAAAAATTTTCCTGAAAATATACATAATACATTCTATATGGTACATAAAAAATTAGAATACAAATTACATACTTATGAAAAATAACTAGAAACAATTTACATTACCATATGTGCATAATAATTGTACTCTTTATTTGTGTTCATTTTCAAAGATTAAAAACCCCTAACTAAAAATATTTTTACCCAGTGAAATTAAAACTGTGTTTTATTGACCTTGGTGTAGGTTATAAACTATAAGTTTAAAATCACAGCATACTTTAACCCACCTAAAACCTAACCAAACACTATATTGTATAGCAATAAACCACATAAAGAACAAAACAAAGCAGTATAAAGTTGTGTAAGCAACTGTTTGTGATAGGTTAGTAGGCTACAGTATTACTTTAAATCACAACAGAGGAATGTTGATACTGTAATAATCATCAACTGTAGCATTGGTATTGCCTTAGTGTAAACAAATCGTACTAAAAACAATAAAAATATTAGATAAGTTGTTATACAGTAGAACCTTGATAACAAGACTCTCATGGGGATTACAAAATAAGTCTGGTTATCAAGGTTAACTTCTTATTGAGGTTTGCAATAATATTTGTTTAAAGGTAAAATAAATTCAAGGGGATTTAAAAAATACACTTGTTATCAAGAGTGACATGTTATTTAGGGTCTTCTTATCGAGGTTCCACTGTAAAAGTCTATAATCATAGCCAAATAAAAGATAATAAAAAATAAAAACACTTGTAAAAGGAATACTAAGAATACTTTGTTCTTTTTTGTTTTATTTATTTTCTTTCTCAGGTTTCTCTTCATCCATAACAATGTTGACTCTGAGAACTGCCTCACTTATGAATCAATTGGTGGTTTTTTAAATATCTTTTTGTTTTAAAAGATTTTTGACATACTTGGCACTTGAAAGATCTTTCTTCTGAATGAAGAAGTGTATGTGTTTTTACGGTCTCAGATCTTGTGAAGCAATTTCTACATATAGGACACATATATGGTTTTATTCCCATGTGGGACATAACATGTCTTCGTATACAGGACTTTCTTTTAAATTTTTTTTTACAAGAATCACACTCATAGGGTCTTTTGTTATTATGTACAACCAAATGGCTCTTTAAATCTTCTTTTGTTTTGAATTCTTTTTTACAAGTAGAGCATTTGTAAAGTCTCTCTTCTAAATGTAAAAGAGTATGTTTCTTTAGGGAATAGTTATGAGCAAATGACTTGCCACATTTAGTGCACTGATGTGTTTTTTCTCCCATG